TGGCCGAGCTGCTCGCTGGTCCGCGGTACCCGGCCGGACTGATAGGAAGGTGCACACTCAGTGTGCACTTCCTGTCAGTCCGGCCGGTTACAGGAAACAGAAACTCCTGTTCCGCGCGGAGTTTCTGTTTCCTGTAACCGGCCGGACTGACAGGAAGTGCACACTGAGTGTGCACCTTCCTATCAGTCCAGCCGGGCACCGCGGGCCAGCGAGCAGCTCGGCCATGCTACAGGGGAGGGGAGGAGAAGAGCAGCTGCAGCCGCCTGAGGCTCTTCACAGAGCGCTCATGCGGCTGCAGCATTTAAAGGGCCGGCCCTGCAGTGGCCGGTCCTAACAGAATTTAGGGCGGCCTGGGGGGCAATTGCCTCCCTGCCCCCCGGCCCAGCCCGCCCCTGATCTATAGGCATTTAGCCAGTGTGGATTTGAGTATGGTCTGTCCTTTAGACATTGGGGGCATTATTATTACTCTGTTATATTTACCATAAAATGGAAACATTTATTAAAGTCCAGGTATTGTCATTAATGAATCAAAAGAAAAAAAAGGCAATTTCAACACAAAGTATTATGGCGCTTTAAAAAATTTATTTAAAAAAAAATGAATATTTTGCTGCTAGGATTGACCGAGACCCTAGACCCATTCTCTACTGCTTACAATGAGAAAAACCTCATTTCACAGTTACCATGGCAACGTCCAGGAAATGGTACCCACCTGAAAACTGCCAAAGCTAGCAGTGATTGGAAAAGCTGAAGTCTAGTAATATTTCTTTTAATCCTTTCACTTCCAGAGGGGAATGCAACTCATTGAGCCTCAATCTGTCGCAGGAACACGGGGGAGCAAAAATCAAACATTTACGTTTCCCTAAGAAATTAGTGTATCTGTTAGATATGTCGGTATGATAACAACTATCTCCTTTTTCAGTTTCAAAATGAGAATCTTGTGCTCTGCAAAAGCATCTCCCAGGTATTAAAACAAAACAAAAAAAAACAAGCATTACAATATGTTGGTAGGATAACTGTTTTTTTTGTTTGTTTTTTTTTATTGTTTATTAACATAATGTAAGGGTTTTCCTACTCTGACCATATTTCAAGGAACAGATGACATCCCGTGGAGGAGAAAGAAAAATGGTCAAGAAACTAGCCAACAGTTACCTCCTCTGAGTCTATATATTTTCTTCTAGGAGAATGGGGTAAAGATTGAGAAAAATATAATTAATTAGTTTGAAAAATATCTATTGACATTTTTTTTTTTAAGTTAAAGTAAGAAGTTTAAGGTATCAAAAAGGCACTTGGGTTCTTGAGAGAATATGCAGAGAAACATTAAAGGGTTACTCTAACCATTTTGAGAATTGGGGCCTTTCCAGTGTAATATGCCCTCCTCTCAATTTGCAGTAAAACCTGCAAAAAAAAAGTTTTTACACACCTGGAATCCTGTACCTGGTGAAGTTGCCGGAGCTGATTGTCCATGTCACCTCCGACGTCACTGGACCCACACTCATAGAGAAGCCTGTGTTTGGACCATTTCGCTGGCTCAGAGCATATGCGCATGCACCATGCCGGCAAGGTGAGGGATTGGAGAAGAGGGAGGGAGGCTTTAACAAAAAATGTGGTACAGTGGGAGGCGGGGGACATGCAGAGTGGGTGGAAGAGCTAGCTTTCTCTTGTAGGCATTCTGCCTACAAGGGAAATATAATTAGGTCTGTCGGCAGCATGCAGTGATCACTGATGACAGTGTGTGTGTTAGTGTGTCTGTTAGTGTGTGTGTGTGTTTGTGTATCTGTTAGTGTGTCTGTTAGTGTGTGTGTGTCTGTTAGTGTGTGTGTGTTTGTGTGTTAGTGTGCGTGTATTAGTGTGCGTGTGTGTCTGTTAGTGTTTGTGTGTTAGTGTGTGTGTCAGTGAGTGTGTCTGTTATTTGGTGTGTGTCTGCTAGTGAGTGTGTTACTGTGTGTGTCTGATACTGAGTGTGTTTGATGTCTGTTAGTGAGTGTGTGTTTGTCAGTGAAAGTGTATGTTTTGTAAGTGAGTGTGTCTCTGTCAGTAAATGTGTGTGTCTGTTAGCTAGTGTGTATGCGTCTGTTCATGAGAGTGTGTGTGTGTGTGTCTTCAGCATTTACCTTTCTCCAGCGTCGGACTCCCTTGGCGCTGGGGATCCCTCCGCCTCTCAGCTCCGAATGCACATGCGCGGCAAGAGGCGCGCACGCATTTAAACCGCCCATAGGAAAGCATTACTCAATGCTTTCCTATGGACGTTCAGTGTCTTCTCACTGTGATTTTTACAGTGAGAATCGCGGAAGCTCCTCTAGCAGCTGTCAATGAGACAGCCACCAGAGGCTGGATTGACCCTCAGTGAAACATAGCCGTTTCTCTGAAACTGCTATGTTTTCAGCTGCAGGGTTAAAACTAGAGGGACCTGGCACCCAGACCAGTTCATTGAGCTGATGTGATCTGGGTGTCTGTAGTGGTCCTTTAAGTGTGTGTGCATACCGCGGTCGCGGGGTCGCAGCCCTGCAACCCCTGCGACCAGGTGCCCACCGCCATGTGTTGCGGTCCCGACCCGCGCCGAGTAAGTACGGGGGGGGGGGCCCACGGATCAATTTTCGCACCGGGGCCCCTTGGGTCATGTGTACGCCACTGATCATGAGCCTATGAGTAAATCATCTGCAGAAAAAATGCATCAGGTTGTGATTTTTGTGTTTTGCTATAGTGGTTATGGTGCCAAGAATGCCCTGGTGCTGCCCCATGGTAAGCTGTCAAATATTTTCGTATGGTTGGTCAACTTATCTGGGTCCTGCCAGACGTCTGAAGGCACAGCATCTGCTTCCAGTCTTACTGTACAGGAGAATCCTGTTAACTCCACAGTTAATCCTGTTAAGTGCTCCCTGGGCGGCCGTTGTTCGTATAGCCGAACGCCACGTGGAATAGAAGACGGCGGCCATCTTGTTCGCACGAGGGGAATCAGCGGGACTTGGTCGTCGAGTGTCTGGAACTAAAATCGGACACTCAACCTCCCGAACCACCGCTGAAACTACCGAACGCCGGCTTCCTTTACTTCCCGAACAGCCAGGAGAGCGCCATTCGGTAGTTCTGTGCAAACGGACAAGGGGAGCAATCGCTCCTATGAGCCAGGAAGATTCATTCGGGACTTTGTTCGGTTTTGTACCTGTTTCTGAATTTACCGACCGCGCACGCTGAATTCATGGAACTGTTTTGGGCAGGAGCCACGTGTGTGGTCGGTAAAAGGTACCCTCCATACTTTTTAAGAACCCCTGAACCGATCTGGGTGAAATTTGGATATGTTTGTCCCCCAGATCGGGGCTATCAGGGCATATGTAATTTGTGGGGATACCTTGTGGGGAAAGGGGTGTTCTAAGTTTTGGGGCAATTGTGTGCTCTCTGCCTGGAGATAATTGGTTTATCGCTTAACTTATCTCAATATCTCCCAGGCAGAGGGAAGGTGTGTATTACTGTAAATCTGTACGTTGATTGGCTGTTGTCTTTGTTTGCTGTGGGAGGTCCTCTTGCAGGAGGATTTCTCATAAAAGCCTGTGTGTTGTCAATAAAATTAATTCCTGTTACACCCTTTATGAAGTCTAGGCTCATGTTTGGGGGATATTCTATTTGCTGGGAAGAATCATCTTGGAACTGCATTCATCTATCCTATTCCTCTACTCCCTGTTGCAGCTATAATCACTTATGCTCAGCTGTTGGGAAAAGGAACAGAAGACCGCAGCACCATAACCACTGCAGGTCTTAACAACTGGTGGCAAGCGACGGGATTGAATGGAACGCATAAAGACAACTGGTGAATGGCCCAGCAGTACGAGAAACTAAAAAGGACTACACTAAAGGATCTGCTGGAAGCCCGAGGTCAGGCGGCCAGCAACAAAAAGAAAGCTACCCTCATAGCAGAACTAATGGAGGGCGACCAAACCAGCAGCATGGCGAATGTCAGCCAGGAGGAAGCAGAATTCCAACAGAAGGTAATGTGAAGGCTAAACTTATATGGGCCAAATCCCACACCTGAGATGGTGATGCAAGTCCTGGCACAAGTGACCGCAGAACGCAGAGCACAGCAGGCAAGCTTGAACCAAGGAGACAACGCTTCCCTAACTGGATCTATAAATGGAGGGCAGCGGAGAAAGATTAATTACGCTGCTTTTAAAAGTTTCTCGGATGGAGAGATGGAAATTGACGCATATTTACAGGATTTTGAGCGTCAATGCGCTTTGGAGGGTCTGGAATCAGAGCAATGGGCTGCGATTTTAAGCAGCAAGCTCACAGGCCGAGCAGCGGAGGCGTACCGAGCAGTTCCTGACACAGCCATACACGACTACGCCAGGGTAAAGGACATTCTGCTAGCCAGGTATGCCGTGACCCCAGAGACTTACAGGAAAAAGTTCCGGGCATTACGGAAAGGGGGCCGAGACTCCTACGCCGAATGGGCCTTTAGGATGTATCGGGCAGCCCAAAACTGAATACAAGGCTGCCAGGCCACAACGCTAGAGGAGGTGCTGCAACTCCTCTTGCTAGAACAATTTTTTGACCATACACCTGCAGACACCAGGGACTGGGTCAGAGACAGGAAGCCGACCACAGTTGAGGAAACGGCCAAGCTAGCAGACGAACATCACGAAGGAAGAAAAGGAGAAGCGAGTGGAAACCGTCTTCTGGTAAGGTACAGTGCCCCAACGCCAGGTCCTGTGGCCAACCCCAGACCAAACCCGGTACCACCCACGACACAGCCTAATTTTAACAGGAGAACCCAATTGGTATGTCACCAGTGCAATCAGCAAGGGCACTAAAAAATACATTGCCCTCAGCGGAGCAGAGGCAACTGGGAGCGGCCCCCACCACCACCGAGGACCGCCGCTCACCACTTTCAACATGAACCCTTGGAAGAGCACCGCCTGGATTCGGAGCAATGGGCCGTACTACATGAGGTGAACCTAGCACAAGCCAAGGGGGACAACCGGGTGCGCCACAGACAATGGGTCGCCATGGAAAAGAGGCGGAGGTGCTACGAGACTCTGGGGCAACCCTTACTTTGGTGCAGCCTCACACCGTGTCTGCAAAGGCGCGCACCAACAAGACTGTGGCCGTAAGAGTGGCAGGAGGCGCCATCCACAAGTTACCCACAGCCCGGGTACAGT